GGATTTTAAACGCTGACCCGTTAACTAGAGAATTGTTGACCGAAGGTCTTAGTATATTACTATACTGAAATACAACTTTTTCATCTTTCTAGATTCAGTTTTATTAGCTTTCCTAAAGCCGGACATTGATTAATTTACCCGGACTTAATGCCTAACTGAATCCGGCTTTATTCGGACGCCTGGCAACCCTTGCAGAAGTATCCAGTTTTTTATTTTAATGGCAGGTAATTATATATATTCGGAACCCGCATCTAAGGGATTCGATGCAATAAAATACGGTAAATTGTGTATGCGAATGAGCCCCTTAATAAACGGCCAAATAATGGTGATGTTAGCGTATTTTGACACTCTTAAGTGCTGGTTCGGAATGGCCTATATAAATTATCGGAATCCTTTTACTATCTGGTGTCTCTTGATACTGCTTTCATTTTTGGTGAAATTTTCAGCCTTTTTCGTAGTAAGTAACTCTCCTATCGTTGCAACTGATTGACAACGTTTAAATAGATTAGAGATAAAGTTAAAAGATTTGTTTTGATAACTTTTTTACATCTGTAACACTATAAAGTACATATTTGCCGATTTACCTACTGAGTTGTTTTCCTAACGAATATTGTTATATAATGATATGCATACTTAGTGATGAAGATTCGCTCATTCCTTAAAACCAAACTCCTATATATGCTCGTGAAAAGAATACTGAATAATTTTCCATCTTAAATTTAGGAGGACGCTCGAATGTTTCGCTTGATGAAAAAGTTTTGTTTCTGATGCACTCGTGAAACGCTAATATCTTAACCGTATCTAAAAGAACTTTTCCCTCGAGCGACAACGAGTTGAAAAGTCAACAACGAACTCTCCAAACTTCGAAGCCCATTTATACGGGATAAAATAGAAATCACCGAACACATTTAGGTGACATTAAGTAGCACTCCGGTGTGTCGTAAGTAAAGACATTTACACACACACAAACGGTAATAAAATAGACACTTTGGGTTTTTCCGGCACTTCCTTATAATGTAATACGCAAAATAGCTTTTTTACGGGCACAGTCCACGAATGTCACCCGTATATTTTTCCTCCACGGTTTCAAGGGATTAGCAAATAGGGGCAGTTATCAATAAAATTATCATAGCAGCCGCGGCGGGCCGTAACGAGGGGCGGGCCTATCCCTTACCCAGTGACCTACTTTTACGGCTCCCGCCGGGAGACCAGGGACACGGTAATGGTATCATACAGTATTGTAACTCGGGCCTGTTTTTAAAGTAAGTAGCTACAGCCGTGCGTTACGTGAACGCGCGATGAACGTGAACGCGTGACACGCCTACAGTATTTAAATTAATTTAATGATGTATAAACAAAAACTTTTTTCAATGAAATTGGAAGTGTTAAATAAAAATACACCTTGTGTTGTTTTTGTAGATTTCATAAAAAAAACAGCTTATTTAATGTTATATTAGAGAATATTTCGGCTAGATTAAGACTGACCCAAAAACAAATAAAACAACACAATGTACTCTTTATTTGCCATATTAAATAATTATATTTAAAACATTAAATGTTTTTCTTCGCTGCGGCGCACTCGCGATGTACCTATACTGTGACCGAGGCGGGTTTGTTTGAAGTTAGAACACTGCTTCATTTCATTACCGAGCCAAGAACGCCGGCACGACAAAGGCTTCACGCAAAATTGACATTTTGTGTGTGCACCTCTCCATGCGTAAGGCATAATAACAGTTTGCTAGAATATGAGAACATGACATGTTGTCGTTTAAGTTGAAATTTGCTTGCGTCATATCCGGTGCGTGCTTGAAATGATCGAATATTTTATAGCTCTGCGTGCGACGGGGAAGATGCTGTACATTCTGTTCAACCATGTCTTCAAACAGAGGTTACTTGATGGTGTACTTTTTGAAATTGCTACCACCATAATATAAACGACCACTTACCGTAATGTTAGGCTATAAGAATTTGAATGTACTTCTTGCTGGTTGTGTATTTTTTGGGATTGCATGTGGTGATTCCACTACATCATGATGGCTCGACTATACTTGGTCGTTAGCCCGTATTCGGGTGCACGAAAGATATTACTCATATTCGGGCAAGCGAAGCAAAATTTACTCTGGAAGACGGGCTGGAAGACGGTGTCGGGTAAACAAAACGAAAACTACTACTCGACTCCGTTCATTTATACTTAGTCGTTTATCCGAATTCCATTGGCAATCGTATTCGGGCTAGCGACCAAGTGTAATTGAGCCATTATCAACAAATACATCAAACTGTATTCTTGTTTGAATGTTTGAAATATTGTTACAACAAAAAGGTTTCTTTTTATATCCTCTCAGTACTTGTAGGGCCGATAATGAAATCAGTATGCCAGTGTATGAATGAAGAATTGGTTATTTAGTTTTAGCCGCCTGAGGTATTGGAATGCCTCGCACTCTTTCTTTTTCATTTGCATTGGTAATAACAATATTAAAAAAAATGAGCGTGAGGTATTCGAAAACCTCAGGCGGCTAGAAATAACAATATAAAATCGTAAGCGTTAGCGTTTCCCAAAGCATTTCCGTTAGGCGATTGGCCCCCAGGCTGTTAACAAGATTGAAAGTGAAACTATACCAACGGTTTCTAAATTTACGACAGGAGATCTTTCACTGCGAATACGCATATTGCGCTTTTGGAAGTTATTTCTTCCTATTTTTATTTCACTGCTTGTTCACTGCAAAGGAACTAGGTCTAGCATTTGAAAATTAAATTATCTGCCAGTTCATAAAAATAAGTTTAATGTATTTTTCAAACTTTTTGAGTATCTACAGAAAATACCTTTGTATTTAACCTAATGGCAGTAATGACATATTTTCAAAAAGAATTGCGATGAAGCGATACTCTCCTCCCATTGTCTCCGCGATCATTTCTTTTAATCGTCGGAGATAGATTGTCTCCGCCGCCGCCCGCTTCGAGATAAGCTATTTCGTCTGTCGATGATTTATACGTTTCACGTCGCATCGATATCGCGCGTCTTTGTCACGCCAACATTCCCTTCCGGAGTGCTCTCGGCTCGAATACGAAGCCGAAGAAAAATAGCTTCCCACGAACCGACCCGTGCTTCTTTTTTACTTTCCTCGTGAATTAATTTACTTACTAAGTGCTCGGAGAAAATTGTACCCAGCCGAGTTTTCAGCCTGTCAATTGACGTCGCCCGATGGAAATGTTTGCGCTCCGGAGTGCTTTGATAATTTGTATCGTCGTCAGCGAGATTGCGGCTGGCTGGATTCGGTTTGCGTCAAATACTTAGGTACGAGAGAGATAGGGGAAAAAACGGGTCGCGAAAAGCTACCGGCATTAACGCTGCGATGGGCTTATCGCGGAGTGAATCACTTTATTATTTTTTATACACTGACGTTTACGATATGAAATAATCGTTTCGTTTACGAAAATATTATGGCATAGCAGAAAACTTCAAATTTATGGTTAAATATAGTAGGTTATATATGCAGGCCGGCAGGGTGAGGATGGCTGGTGGGGCAGGTAGAACTGCTGTATCAGCTATCTTCGCGTCTGGACTTCACCGTCACTTAACATTAGTTAGGGTGGAGTCACTTGTCGGACCTTTCTATAAAAAACAAAAAATATATAGAAGATACGTACATACTTGAAAGCCTTGAGTCCAAATAAACCACCCAATGAAAACGGCTATCTTACGCGCGATGTGTGCGTGACTCTAATGTCAGATTGTTTAATGCAGTAAATGTGTGCGTGTGTGTAACGACGAGCGTATCAACCTTAAGTAGTAGTTATTTGTTTCGGCGCTTCCGTGCAGTTAATACCGTATCTGGGCGTGTATATAATCAAAGGTTTCGGTTATTCTGTTTGTGTCCGAAGCGCTGAGCAGTCAGATCTCTTGTTACACCATGAAATAACTAAAGCCTTAGTTACGGTCTTATTTAACATATTGTGAAGGTTTACCCCAATTTTCATGCCGCTTAATACCCGCGATAGTTAATGGTTTCAGTCTGCTACATAAAGGGCACCATAAAAGCGTTTCTTTCAGCCGACTTTACGACTAACCTCTTACGCAGGAAGATAAGCTTGTGTCCCAAATCGCGAGATTTCTTTTGCTTTTAGCTGAAAGGGGAAGTCTTGCGATTGAATTTATTATACTTATTTATTGGTGAATGTTTAACATTTTTGCGGTGTAAGTATCTTGCGTCCATTCTTCTCCATGATAAAAGAAAAATATAATTGATTTTTTCAAGAAGGACACTACTTATACCTTTTATGCAAAAAATATTTTATGAATGTTTTAATACTTATATGACATTTTTAATAACGGTGTTTGTAAATTTTTTTGCAGTGTCAATATAAGTAATTAATAGAAGCATTTTGCGTTTGGTGATGGTTTTATATGATGTGAGGAAACAGAAAAGAGTATATACACTCACGGATAAAACTAATATTGAACAATTATATTGTTCATTCATTGCTTAAAATTTGAGATCGGTGCTATAAATTGTTATTCCAGTCTCCAATCTTAAACCAGTTATTCTTTTTGATTTTCAGTACGTTTTTATATGAATATTATATAAGTAATTAATACATATTTCTAACACCAATTAGCCTAGCGCCAAACTGTAAGGCTTGTGTTACTCATGTAACTGATATAATACATGTTATACCGAAATCTAAATTAGTGCATTTATCTAGTTCAAAAACATATAAACAACCATGACTTAAGTAGAAATACGTAATTCATATTCAAAATATAAACATTTGTCCCACCGATATTCGAACCCGGGATTTCTAAGTAACTGACACCATGCAACCCGGCATATACCTACATAACAGTCGCAACACGGAGGTCGTAGTGTACTTCCTTTAGCTAGTTACGCAGTACAACAGATCAATACAATTATGTCCCGATGTCAACATTTTCATGGACACTTTGTGCCATCGAACTCCCCGTTTTAGTTGTTCTTATTGCATAAATTTATGTTTTTCCCCAGAATGGAGCGGTGGTGCGGGTAACGGGGAATACCGGGTGCGGAGGCAGTTGTCAGTCTCGTCAGACTCGAAGTTACTGGACGAGGGTGCGCGGGAAGACGCCCGAGTGGTGATGCGGCCCAAGAGGCCACCTCGGCCCAAGTCCGAGGCCTTCTTGGGCCCGCACGACCACTCTAACAGACGCACCAAGCGATTTAGTGCCTTTGGGGTGAGTTACCACTTGTTTTTTCTTCAAGGCTGGCAATTTTTTTATAATAACATAAATAATAAACGACCATAGCACATTCCACTCTAAGAATATCTAGTTATGTCAAAGCGAGAATTTAAGACTTTAGAATAATAAGACCACCGTAGTCTATAGTACCTTCCCGGGGGTGTATTTTAAATTCTGGCGCCCCGAGCTACTAACGATCCCCCATACATCTCCCACTCCTTAGAATTATTAAATCAAATGAAAATGTAGGTCAAATACAAATGTCTGCTTATGGCTTCTGCCGCCCTTTGCAGCTCTTGCAGCTGTCCCTTGTAGCCTGTCGCCCTGGACCCTCTATGCCCTAGAGCAAATACGCCCTTGCAACTTCCACTCTAGGTATCTCTGGATATCTTACAGCAGAATAAATAGTGTTTTTGACGCAACATTACGATCGGGAAATCGGCGGTCTCTTACATTTCTACATTGTCAAATTGTTAGCGAGTCTGACCTTTACTTTCTGTTACCTAAACATAGCTATTAAATATACATAACTAGTAAACTTAAACCCAAAATAAATATTTCAATTAGTAGTCCCGTCCTGTTAGTAGTCCCATCTGATCAGACTAGAAACTTACTGGACGAGGGTGCGCGGGAGGAGGAAACTAACAATATAAAATTAGTAGATCACCACAGCTATAGCACCTTCCACTCTAGGAATCTCTGGATATCTTACAACAGAATAAGTAGTGTTTTAGACGCACCATTACGATTAGTTTTTTTAATGGCACGAGTTACAAGAACTCTCATTTTTGACTGTTGAAATGATCTTCAAAAATTTCTTAAGTATGAAATGAGAAATGTTGCTCAAGTCATTACTTAAGCAGAAGTATGTCTTTTACTTGATTATAAATACGACTTCTAAACGTTTTTTCTTAGAGATCCCTCTTAAAGAGCAAACATGCGTATGTGGCCAGCTTGCGGTCAGAAGCCACCATAATCTTAAGCGCCTTAAAGTACCTTTGGATAGTTACATTAAGAATGTTACACTAAAGAATCATTTTATTTCTAGAATTGAAGTGTAAGAATTAGAAATCTAAAGGAAATTTTACTGCGATCGGATAGCGGAAGGCGTAGGTTCGAATCTTGTCTGATGATGCCTGGAGCGAGTGAAATTTTTTCTAGTCTATTTTTTTTAATTTACTAAAGAATAAGTCTGCCACCACAGTCTACAGCACCTTCCACTTTAAAGATCTCTTGGATATTTTATTAACAGGAACCTTATAATAAAGAATAAAAAGTGTATATTATACATCATTCCGGCGCTTGTTAACGAGACGATTTCTGCCACAGAACAAGGAAAGAGGTTAAAAGGGCCTTGTGGGCGGGGCAGGCGCGCTACAGTTACGTATGAGCAAAATTCTCATAACGTTACTAAAACTTGCGTCATTGCTCTCGGGTGTGAGCACTGATTGGGTCGATTGTTTGATGTCGCGTTGTTTGATTGGCTATTATCTATTAGATGGTAGTATAGTGGAGCCGGTTGCATCGGTTCCCGTACAAACGGTATATGAGCCCCCTTCTAACCTCTTCCTGTGTTTTCTGATTACTACCCGCGTGTAGAATTGAAAGACGAGCAGCTTCTGGTTTTGTACTGTATAATATATATGAGGAGCCACCGAACAAAACGGTATAATTACATAAAATTAAACTACAATGGAGTTTGACAGTTGAGTGTCGATAAATCGCTTTATCATATCGCGTTTTGTTAGTCATGCTAGGGGGGCAGGAGCGGTATAAAACTGAATGACATACCTCCAGTGAGCTTTTGGCACGATTTTTAATTTATAAATTTAGTAATTTTAACAATGTTTTATTTGAAAATTATTTGAGATTCAAATTTAACGGGCCCGATACCTCCGGACTCTAAAAAAAGTAGTTTATAAATAAATAAATAATTATTTCCAACTTAAATTATACATATATAAATATATTTATATAGAAATACAATCAAACATCCATGACTGGAGTACAAATGCTTGTATTCATCACACAAACATCTGCTCCCACTGGGATTCGAAACCGGGAGACCTCTCGGGTCGGCGACACCATGAAACCCGGCGTACAAACCAATCGGCCACTGAGGTCGTCGTTTGACCGAAGCGTAATTATACCGTTTTGTTCGCCAGCTCTTCATTAATATAAAGCAGTAACTTAGTTAGTGTTGCAAAAAAAGTCGCTATTAAGTAACAAAATCATGATGAATTGGCTAGGCTAGCACTCTTAACAAGCCGTACAGAATCGCCACCGGTACAAATAGGCGTTCACTGACATTGATAGATCGCAGGATTATGTTGGTATTTATTTTCATGTATAAACACTACGAAAATAAACCATGAAAATAACGCCTTTGAACGTTACTCATGCTAGGTAGATACTAATGACTAATTTAGGTAGTATAGAAAACAACAAATCTATCGATTGGTTTGCTCCAGTTAAACTTAAATTGTATAAAAAAAATGGTTTTGTGTGTTGTGTTGGAAAATGATCTACCCATAATCTGCGCTTTTAATACCTTTGTATGTACGTGTCGATAATTTTGCAAACACAAACTAATGTGAAACAATAACCTCTAAAGTAACACCTCAAAACCGGCCAAATGCGGACTCGCGCATTGAGAGTCTGTAAAAAATGTGATGTAACTAAAAATTTTGCGGTAAGTTTTCGCAATGTTTCCTTTATATGTGCTGTAAGACGTTGCTTCGTACCAAATTTCAAGATTCTGAGTTCACGGGAAGAACCCTGTAGGTTTAGATTATCTTGCAAGTTAAGAAAATTTCCGGCATGCCTTTTTTTTGTGTCTGGAAAATGCCTTACGCATCCTTCAACCACTGGGGGAGCGAGAAGAAGGTATGTGGGACTCCTCTCTGTCCCATTCAGCCAGCCCTGGAGCTCGCTGATGTGAACAGGGCCCTACCTACGCCCTGAACAGGGCCACTAAAAACCAGACAAAACTCCTGCACCGTCACCCGACATGCACTATGAGGACCGCGGTCCCCCTAGTGCGTGCCGACAGGGCGGGTGTGGTCGCGGAACCCGTCTCTGAATAGCCGCGCACCTGCCAGGTGTAGGGACGGTAGACCTGAGTATTTGATATAAATTTCAGCTTGATACCTCCACGCGTTCTTGAGAAGAAGGATCTTTACTTAACAGACGTACGTCCGTACGTAACGGCACGGCAACAAAGTGATCCTTTCTAGGTACGGAACCTTAAAAATCTAGACTATCGCTTTGGAAAGTCAGAACCTTCTTTTAACAAAATATCATTAAATTGAAATTATACTTGCCGAATTCGGAAGACATGCTCCGCCTTATTACAAAACGTAGACAGTTTAACCTGGTCTAAAACTGATGCTGTCACTTTTGATTGCTAAAAAGCAGACAGAGACAACATAAGATTTAAAGCAAGCCTTACTTTAGTCCGCGTTTTGAAATAAGGCGGACTTAGTTTAGTATCTCAAAACTGTCTATTCTTAATGGCTACTCCTATCCATTTCCTGTTTGCAATGTAATTGTACACCGCAAATGGTGATTGAAGACATAAGTTACGTAATTTTATTAAACTTAATAAAGGTTACAATTTATTGCGTAGCCCAAGAACGTATACGACTTTTATTCTTCCAAAATATATTGCCAGTTGGGCAACAAAGATGCGTTCATATTACAAATCTGAACGGTTTTTTCATGGACCTGGATACAAAAATTAATGATAAACGACTTAAGCCCTCTGAGACGGCTGGAGGCAGAGCTGTAGGTATACAAACAAGAAGCGTCTGGGCATCCGTTGACGTTGATGGATCGTCCGATTAGGATGGTTCACTGCGATTTCCGTGCCACCGATTTTTGTAAACGTTCTTGACTCCAGGTCCCGTACTATGGAACTTTGAACGGCATGCATAATACGCAGTTAGGTGGAGCTGTGTTGCCAGCGAAAATTTTCAGTCGGTCGTGTAAACTAGACAAATAAGCCGTGTCATATAGGAGATAAATCTGAGGTTCCAGTACACGCACAGTACCCGTAGCATGAGCACCACAATTTACATTATATCACGTTTTTTTATCGCATTTAAATGTCAAACTCCATAGTAATTTGACAGTTGAGTGTGATAAAAACGAGCTATATATCATATCGCAGTGCTTGTGCTAGGGGGGCTGAGTAAGTTAATTATATCGAATAAAATTAAAAATTAATTATAGTATAACACAATATTATTTACAAAAAGAACATTTTCTTCTGTCTACATTAACATAATGCATATTGTTTAGGAAAAAATAGGGAAAAATAATCTTCATGATTTAACCTTTCGTCGGTTATCATAAAATACATGTGTTTTTTGTTTCACATTTCACGAATTTGATTCCCAGTTTTGGCATGCGTTTTTTTAAAAACTGTGAATGCAGTTTTACTTATTATTAAAAATTAAATACAAACCAAGTTTACCCCTTACGACAACGGCTTATATAGCCGAGGTCCGAGGCTCAGAGACGCCCTCTACTTGAGCCGACCCCCTCAGGTTCGAGTGGCCTAGAGGCTCCAGAAGGAGAGGAGACTCCCCCCCCGTAGGGAGATGCCATTCTCGGCTTAAGGTCCCTTTAGGATCGCGCTGTCCAATCCGGTGACGTTGTAAAGGTCATCTGCGACCAACAGCATACACATTTATTAGTAAGTAGTAGTCGATGACACAGACTATTTTGAACCGTAAGGTCATTAAATGCAGCAGCCAGTTATAGATAGACATAGTAGTACTTATTTGATTGCATTTTAGCTTTGGGCTTGCCCTAAGTCCAAACCTCGGGCACGCCACTGATTACGGTGTAATTTACACTTACATTTTTTTCATGAGAGCTTTACGTAAAATTTGGTGAGAATCGCTAGCAGTCTACTTAGTAATATAGAAAAACTAATGGGTTGTGTTGCGGTTTAAAAGACATAATCAGAAATAAAAAGGCACGTTTCG